TCAATTTAATTAGTTTTAAAAGTTGTTTTTAGGGAAAAAAGAGAAAAATGAGAAAATTAAAGATGATCAATTTACATTTAATGGGATGATTCATTCATGATAATTATAAAGTGATGAAGGGATTAAGCAATTTAAAGAACTGAATAGAATTTAATTTTTTCTTTAAAAATGGTATTTAATTTACAATGTATGTACGGTGGTAAGATTTTCATTGAGTGTGGCTTTCTAAAAAGAAATCGCACGCTTTGTGATATTCGGTAAAAAGGATATGAAATAATTTCATTTTCTCAAATTATTCATCTGTATGTCATCGAGCATTACAACTAAAGTTGAATGCTGTCAATATTTCGAAGTGGACGAGATCGAACTTTCCTTGAACTTTCAAAAACATAAAATTTAATAAATATTTAAATAAATTGAAACAAAGCAGTTTTTAAAGTTCCCTATTTAATTGAAACGTATATTAAATAAGACCGACCGGGATAGCCTGGTCGGTAGGACGCTGGGTCCATGTCCGAGAGTTCGTGGGTTCGGCCGAAAACTGTAAGAAGTGTAGTAAAGTGACTGATGCACGTTAAATCTGCCGAGTCGCAAAAGTCCACCATGTTCCCATAACAAGTCAATACCCCTTAGGGTATTGGATTGGAGATCGATCGTTCTCTGATTCCGGTCAAAATTACGATCTGTGGATGAATGAGTGGATGCATGAATGGGTCCGCCCTACAAATGGGTGTGACGTACGGTGTGGCAGAAGTCGAATTCTTGGCAATAGATGGTGCCATTGGAAAACGAGAACAATCGCACCCCCTCTGTTGTTGTTGTTGTAGTTCATTTACGTCGCACTAGGGCTGCACAATGAGCTATTGGCGACGGTCTGGGAAACATCCCTGAGGATGATCCGAAGACAAGTCATCACAATTTTGATCCTCTGCAGAGGGGAGCACCCCCTCTGCCTAAACAGGCATGCGTCAACAACAACAACATATATTACATTTTCTTACATTTGCAGGATCGTGGTACATTTACTACTTTACACCAAATTACATTACTACTGTATCAGGTTAATTGGGCTTTAAAATGATTGTCTAATGTTTTTCCTTAAATAGACTGCTTCTTTTTCACGCAGCAATGTCTCGCCATCGTCGAAGTAGCTTATTGTAGGTTGGAGTTGCCCCACGTGTCTCATTGCAGATCTTAGAGCAGGTGATTTATTCGTTTCGTGGAACCTGCCGGATTCTCCTCTTGTATTGCCGAAGCCTTGATCATTTCTACAGTGGCAGCATTTTCAAATTCTATTTGTTCATCACTATTTAGCCATTCGTCTACCACTGTCATGTTGGTGTTTTCGTAGGCTGGGAATTATTTTATTAGGCTGAAGAGAGGCAGATTGTCTTCAATGACGTGATCGCTAACCGCAATCTTGTTTTTCAGTATTTAGTCGTAGTAATCGCTCCATGTGTCGCTTGTACGTCGGTCATTATCTAAGAGAAAGACTCGTTTCTTTTTTTCAGATCAGATATCAGGGATCACAGAATTTTTATTCTTTTATTGCAAGACATCAGTGCGAATGCAGTTCCCGACTATCAAAATTGTGTGCTCCAACCAACCGCAATTTGTGGAAGTGGTAGTCACGAACTAGAAGAGCTCCCTCCTTGTTTAGAGCTTCTTCGATATCAAGTATGTATGTTAAGGGATTTAGAATTTTGTGTGAGCAAATCGTCGCAGTGCTTTTTCTTAAAAAGAAAAAATGAATATAAAATTCTTGCCTCCAAGAATTATTACTTCATAGCACGCCTCTTTAAAGGGGCATTTAATGGAAAAAGAAGTGTTAGCCCCGGGCATAAACAAACGTCCGTACTCCTCTGTCCACAAGACAAAGAATACATAATGATATGCTCATATGTATTTTCATATTTATTCACTCAGAAAATTTGTATAAAAATATTAAGCTTGCATAATGACAGATCTACAGGTGCCAATCCACAATAGATGTGCTTTTCTTGTAAAAACAGTGATTTTAAATCAAAATTATAACTATTTAGAAATTTGTGAAATTTTTTCAAATCTTTCTCATGTTAGGCAGGTTTACACAATATAATAGAGTTTCTAATTTGTTTTTGCTCATGATTTTTTTTTTATAAAAACACTAATGGTTGCTGCCTTTCATGTTCTCCCTCACTCTTTACCTATTAATTATATAAAATTAAATGTGTAATGGTATGCACATTAAAAACCCATTACTGTAAGTGGGGTTGGCAAGGTATAAATAACTCTATTTAAAAAGAAAGAAAGAGAATCATTGATTTAAATTAGCTAATTTTTTTAAGAAAAAAAATCATGGATTTAAGTTAAAAATGCTTTTTATTTACGATAATTTATTTATCCCTAAGGAAGCGATTATATGAAAGTCTGATTTCTTTGGTATTGAAATTTTTGTACAGAAAAAAATGAGAGGGTAATTATTATTATTTGATAGTAATAAATTAATGTGTATAAATTATTATTTAATAATAAAGGAAAATATGTGGATTAAAATGTGGTGAAACTTATTAGTTGGATGCAAAATAATTTGCTATTTAGTGAACATATTTTAAATATACCAATTTAGTTTTATGTTATTTGAAAACAAATACTTTTAAAAATCATTAATCATGTAAAGTAAATCATTCTCACAACAGCTCGAGCTGTTCAACGATTGTTGAGGACTAAGGGAACTATGAAGGCTCAGGTATTTTGTGCAAAATTCAAAAGAAAATCAAATAAAATATTATTTAATTTTTTGACAGAACAAAATACTTAATTACAATAAATTTAATATTTTAACAAAGCTTGAAAATCGAAACCTGTCCACAATCCACAAAAAATAAAACAGAAATTAAATATAGCAATGTATTTTATTAAAAATGCCTTTATTATTTAACAGCGTGATTACTTTTCAGTAATTCCATAAATTTAATCGATTTTTTCTTTCCTACTTTTACGTTTGTAGCATATCTACCACTACAAAATTACAACTACAATTTCACTAGTATATAAGACATGTTAACTCGACTCTATGTCGGGGTACCTTTTCATAGATGACGGTTGACATGGTCAATAACTACTGATCCCCACATTGGTGACCCGGGCGTGATTGGAACACGCCTACCTTGGCAAAAGCGCCCACTTTGATCTGGATACGCATACATCGACAGTAACGCCTACTTCTTTGGATGGTCCACATTGAATAGTTGACTTGCGACTGCAACATTATCCACCTCCTCGCACTGTTGCTGCTCAGTCTCGAGCACACAACGTCGGCCTGCATACACTCGACTGCTAAAGGCAACACAGGAGTGACTACGACCGTGAAGTTAATACACATCTCTCATTCAGCACTCAAAAAGTACGGTGATCTTAATACAGCTTTCCCGGCTTCGCACAAAAACAGCAATGATTCAACTAGTGGTATTCATTCATCGAATTCTATCACAGATATAATTCTGGTGCGGGAGTACTGTAGCATATCTACCACTACAAAATTACAACTACAATTCACTAGTATATAAGACATGTTAACTCGACTCTATGTCGGGGTACCTTTTCATAGATGAAGGTTGACATGGTCT